GTTGCGACAAGGTAATCGATGAGGGAGACAATTTACCAACCGCTGCGGAATCCGCAGGCGAGCGCCATGTGTTGGATAACTCGTGGGTCGAGCGCCGTCGAAATGCTGGCCGGCGGACGCGGGCGACCGCTTCGACGCAGCGGATGCCGCCCTGCGGCGAGCTGCCATGCGGTGCTACCTCGCGTCAGACAGCACGCCAACGCAAGAGTCTCGACTGCCGTCTCGCGACTCACCCAGACACGCGCGCAGAGGACCACCAAGCATCCGCAATCTCGCGTCCCACGGGCTACGGCAATGCTACTCTGACCCCGGCGATTGATGGCGCCCCGAGGCCATCGAGCTCGCCGAGGGCAGGGCAGCGAGCTATGCCCGAAATGGCGCATCACAGCGAAACCCATACTCGCCAACGTCGAATACTTCTCGGCCATCGCAAAGATCGCCCTCCGAGACGCACTGGGGCAGGACCGCCGCGAGGGCGGCAAGCCAAGCCCGCTGCGATGGGCTCGGGGGAACTTGCTGAACGTGCAGGCCCAGGGGCGCGTGGACGGCGACGCGCAGACTGCCCCGCCCGGCAGACATGAAACGCGAAGAATAGATACCGAGCCACGCACATAGCCCCGGGAGGGCGCGAAAACGACGGAAAGCCCGCGCAATCGGACTGGCAATGGAGGCAGCAATCGATCAAACATCCTGCCAAGATCGAACGCGCCCGCGCAGTGGAATGGCCCCAGCTCAAAGCCGAGCACATGAATCAGAGCCGGGTGCTCTGCGCCACTTCCTGTCCTGGCGCGCGCCCATAGACCGCGATGCCGCGCGAGGGCCTGGCCGCGCCTCTAGCGAAGCGAACCAGGGACAAAGTGACTGGGCCCGCAGGATTACGCGACGAACCGGGAGCGGTTGCCGCGCTCCCTTTGGCGCGACACTCGCGCCCGCAGCACGGAGGATCGCTCTGCAACCGCAAAGAGCCCCCCTGGCCAGCCAGAGGGGGCGCCGCGGCTGAAGCGCACCAAATCAGGGGCACCCAGATCAATATCTAATACTGCAAAGCAGTCCTGCTGGTCGGCCCCAGCACCGCCAAGCACCGCCGCGCCTGCGCCAGGCCCGCGCTCGGAGAGACGCCCTCCAGATCGCCCGCGCGGACTCCCCGCGCGGGGAAAGGTGCAGGCGGGGCAGGGCCGCGGCTGCCCATGTCTCGAGATCGATCGCACCCTTGGCAAGAGCAGCGGAAACGACGCACTTTCTCCCGTTCTACAGCATCAAAAACAGCCGCTGCACGGTCGCCCAGGCGATGGCCCTTCCCGCGCAAGGGAAACCCGACGAACATCCAGATGAACATCAGAAGCGCGGCATGCTGGAGAAGATGAAGAGATTGGTCGGGCTGGAGTCGAGCCGCATCACCAGGACGCACGATTTGGATGCGAGGGCCTTGGAAGGCCGTCTCGGAACTTTTCGGGCGGGGCGCGGCCGGCGAAAGTGGCCAGGGATGGGCCGGGGAGGCAAGGGTGCAAGGGCGCCCTCGGGAATGCTGCCCATCCTTATTCTGCGGGTCGACTGCGCCGCTGGAAGTCCTTTCAATGACTGACAGCGCGCGCGCAACGCTGGATGGCAATGATGGCGCAGGCGCGCCTGGACACATAGCGCACCGTCGAGCAGTGACCCGCAGCGGTCGCAGCAAACCCCAGATCGAAACCAGGCGCGGGCCTTGCGGGTTTCACGCCTGGCGCCCTCAACGCCAAAACAGCGCCTTCTTTACACGCTACGCGCGCGGGGGGGGAATTACTCGCGAACTCGTCGCAGCGCGACGGCGCCCCCGCCGTCGCGCGGAAACGACCCATGTCGGCGCATGCGCGGGCACTCTTTTTGTATATCACGGTCAAGGACAACGGCGCGATTGGGCCGCGCAAGACCACGCGCGATCGACGCCGTCCACGACGGGCTTCGACAACGCGCGCCCGCGCCATGCTAGGCGCTAGGCCCTGGGCGAGTCATAAGTACAATGGTAGATCTTCCCGGGCACGCGTTCGATGCGAAACGCGCAACGCGCGCTGCGGCCCGTGGACGCGCAGTCGTTGACCCGGACAGCGCGAGGCTCCGTTGGAGCGCCCTCTCGTCGCTGGCCGTCGCGTCCTCGGGGGGCACCACCCTGGCGTAGATGTCGCGATGGTGCTGCATATGTCTGCCCGCCTGCGGGGGCAGGTCCTCGCGGCGCATTCGTGTCTGAGTTGCTTCCGCACGCGCGGCTTCTAGGGCATCGGCACGGCGCGCAGACTTGGCCGCGTTCATCGGCGATCTGGCGGATCAGCTTGCGCTGGGCAGCCGCGCTGGACCGCGGTGCCTCCCCTTTGGCCAGTGGGTGGTCACTGTCTGCAGGTGCAGCTCCGAGCCAGGGCATATTCCTCTGCTAGGTGGGGGCGTCTCGCATGCTGGCCCCGCGCGTCTCAAGCTCGGCGCGGCACGAGTTGGCTCCGGCTGCGAGGTCTTCGGTTTGCCCCCGCATGTGCATTCTTTCCTGGTCGACTGCCGTGGCCAGCTCCGCTTGGTGACCCTCTTATCGACCGCTGGTGCAGCGCCCGCAGTTCGTCTCAGCATTCTTGACCCCCCTGTCCACGCATGTAGCCTGCGCGGCAATATCGCCCTTGGCGGCCGCGGTGTCTTGGCTGATCTCCTGCCGGTACTTCTTGTCGCATGAGGCTGCCGTCGGCTCGAAATTATTGCAGAGTTCCTTCTTGGCGTGCCCATGCGGCGGTGCGTTCCCGATCCTGGAGAGGGTGGCGCTGAGAGGGTCGCTGTGGCTGTTCGACTGCGTCGTTCAAGTCCAAGCTGGCACCTGATTGGCCAGCTTCCTGAATGCTCGGTTGGGCGGGCGCGCGAGCCCCAGTTTCCAGCCTTGTAGCGCACGCCTTCCTGACATCGGACACGGCGGCGTCAACCCCTTGCTGTACTTGTTCGACTTCCCTGGCGATGCTGCCCAAGATCTCATTGTTCATGTGTCTGTCCTCCTCGGTATTCTAAAGCTTTTCCGTGGTAGCCCTGCCTGGCCTTGAATTGGGTATGCTCTTTTGCATATTGTTGCTTGAGCCCCGTATCCAGGGTCTTGTCGGTCTGTGGCGTGTACTTGATGCAGGCGACGCTCTTGCATGCGCATTGATGGGGTGACCCAATTATTTTGTTCACGCCGGTGGACTTGGCAAGCTTGTGCGCTCGTTCGTGGCAGTGGCGATGGTAATTCAAGCGGCGTGCTTTACATGCTGGTGGAAACATCCACTCTCCATTGGCGTTCGCCTCCTCCTCCTCCTCGCCCGCTGTGGTAGCACGTTTGAAGATCAATTCGAGAGTCCTGTCCAGCTTCCACGTTGGGACAGCGGTCAGCCCTTTAGCCGCAGTGCAATGGTGGCGTGTTTGTCGTCTTGCAACACGTAGCCGCAATCCAATGGCACTTCCATTCGTGGTTGGGTGCGTTCCTTTTTCATTTGCACTCCCAATGAGCAGCGTATTCATCCCTCTCTTGCCCCTGTCGGCATATTCCCTTGCTCTGGTCCCTCTTGGGGATTTGGGTGCCTCGGGTGGTACGTATTTGGCCGCACTGAGCCGCGGCGTAGCTCAAGGCACTCGCGTGCTGCTAGTGCGGCAAATACTAAACTGTCCTGGTTTCGTTGGGCTCGTGGACTCCTATGTCAAGCACGTCCGGGGAAGTGCACCGCACTTGCAAAACAACTCGTGCACCCTGCTGCTCGCCAACAAATAGTACAAGGGTTAGGCGCGGTTGTTCGCCCTCTCGTGAGTGAAGTAATACACTTTGTTGATGATGTAGGCGCTGGAATGCCGCGTTTGGAAAAGGGTACTGGTTCACGGGGTACGCGCGCCGCCAGTGGCTCGGCGGCGCGCTGATGCCGGCCCCCCTGGGTCCTGGCGCCGCGGCGTGGGGGCCAGGAGCCAGAATAGCCTTCCGCATCTCACTCGTCCTTTTCTTTCTCGTGCTCCTGCTCCTGCTCCTGCTGCTGCTCCTGTTCATGGTTTTCCTCCTCCTCCTCCTCCTCCTCCTCCTCCACCTCCTCCACATCCTCCTCATCCTCCTCCTCCTGCTCCTCCTGCTGCTGCTCCTTCTCCTCCTCCTCCTCCTCCTCATCCCCTTCCACCGCCTCCTTTTCCTCCGTCCACAATTGCACAATATGAATACCCCCCCTGGTGATGCCTGGAAGATATCTGGCCCCCTTCCGCGCTCTGTTTTCACACACAGGCTTCCCGAGAAATGGATTTTCGGTTGGTTTGTTATTCCAAATGTTGCTCCCGCTGGAGTGCTGGGCTCATTTTCGGGTTTCCGCTCGTTCCGAATCCTGCTCCCGCTGCAGCGCTGGCCTCATTTCCGCGCTTCCGCTCGTTCCGAATCGTGCTCCCGCTGCGGCGCTGGCGTCATTATTCCCAGTGCCATACCACGGCATGGTTTTCGGTCCTTCGAAGTAGGCCTCAACATCTAGAAAATGCCCCCCCCCTCGAAAAAAACATCGGAAGTGATTCCACATTCAGTGTCGATTCGTTGCCCGCAGAAGCACCCCCCACTGAAGGGCGTCGCCACGCCATGCTATGTTATACTACGCGTTGATCTTCAACACCATGCTATGCCATGTAATACTACGCCATGCTACGACATCCGACTGTGCGAATTGAGAGGAGATCTACGCCATGGTAAGGGATGGGAGGGAGGGGTATGACGTCAGATATGACGCGAGCGCACCTAGCTTGCCTCCACCCCCTCATCTCCCTCCCGTTCCTCCTCCTCCCCTTTGACCTCGACCCTTCTTATGGCGCGTGTTCCCGCGCGCGCGGGAGCGCGCGACGAAGACGAAGACGACGATGAAGACGACGATGACTGGACGAGGGCGAGGACGAGGACGACGACAATGATGGCGGCGGCGGCGACTTCGACGGCGACAATGACGGCGACGGCGGCGGCGACGACGACGACGCCCCCTCCCCCAAAGACTTCTGGCTGCCCTGGCCGCCGCACTGACCAGGGACGGACCCGCAGGCGTGCCCGCCGCCGCGATGCCGACCCGTTTGGTGCCCCAGTCGTAGACGGTCAAATACTTGCGCAGCACCGGCTCGCCCCAGACGTCCGGGGAGCCGCGAGGGGCACGGGAACCCTCCGAGGTGCAAACTCCGAGACTCCAACTCCAGGGCTCGAGCATTCTTGGGGGCACGCTTTCGCCCCTCTGGCAGCCTCGTCGCCGCGGCTGGATCCGCCTCCGAGTCGTGCCCGAACGTAGCGCCCTGGACAGGCGGCGGGGGGTCGGCACTCGACATCCGGGGCCCCGGCTTTGCGGACAGGGCAGACCAAAACAAGGAGGAGGAGGAGGAGGAGGATGACGCGAAGGGCGAGGACAAGAATGAGTAGAACGAGGTTGACGCCAAGAAGAGGAACGAGTAACAAGAAGGGAATGACAAGATGACAAAGACGATGAGGACGACAACGAAGACAAGGACTAGCACGAGATGATACGGATGATGGTGATTGCCACTCTTTGCCGCCGATTGTTCGATGAAGCGTGGATTGAATCCGCACCCTTGCTTCGAAGGCATGCTCAGGGAACCCAGATAAAGAGTTTCTGATCTGGTCGTGGGTGTGGGGTCAAGCGTTGCGTGTGCACGCGCACAAAAGCCGACGAATAGCACTAGTAGGACTGAGGAGGCGGGAGTGAAGCCACGGGCGCCCTTGGCATATCCGCCGCCATTGGCTCTGCTCCCGCACCTTCGCGCCTGACCTGCTGCTTCCAAGCGTTGGCCTCTCGTCTCGCGCCCTCCTTTTCCCAGGCAGCCTTGGTGAGCTGCGGGTCGGGAGCTCCGGGCACGGGTGCAGAAGCTTCCCCTGCAGGTTCTTCTTCCTGCGGATATCCCGGGTGACCGCGACAAACTCGTCATTGCCGAGATCGTGGACGAATGCGTCCTTGTTGCCTGACACCTTCATCTTGAAAGGTGCTGGGCGTCTGCCGTGGCGCGGCCTCGCGAGTTCCACCTCTGTGAAATCGCCTTCCCCCTGTCCCAGGAATGCCTCCCACTTCCGCAGGCGCCCGGTGGTTGGGGCAGCCCTGGACTTCGAAGTGGAAAGGGGCTTGTCCTGCACTGGGGCTGGCTCGTTTGCAAGCAACCTCCCTCCCAGCTCGGCCTTGCCACCCCACTGGTAGGCTAGGCCCCCGGTGCCGAGCTCCAGGCGCCAAACCCTGGCATGGCACTCATCGTCGCATTCCTCATCCACCCAATTGATCCAGCGGACTGGCTGCTGAACCGTGTCGGTGACAAGCTGCTCGCTGAAGATACTTCCCTTGCCGCTCTGCGACTGCCGCCTGGCCAGGTGAGCCATCAAAACAATCGAGAAGCACATCCCCGCGCGGTTGTCGTCGTCCTTCTCGTCTGCGAGCGCGCGCCAAGCATAGGTCAGCACCAACGGGCCGCATCCCAGATGGACGCGAGGGCAGAGCAAGGGCTTGCCCGCCAGGCGTCTGTGCCCATGTACTTTTTGACGAAGGCCACTCTCACGACCGTGACTACCGTCTCGCCGCTGAGGTCCTCGACCTTCCGCTTGGCCTGCGCGGCTGCGCTGCCGACCTCTTGCGGCGCGCAGCGGCGCCAGCGACGCTGGACAACTCCATGGCGCCGCCATGTCGCGGCCGTTCGACCCGCATCCACTTTTTAGTGGCATCCTGCTTGAGCGCCGCCTCGGTCGGCTCACCAGTGCAACAGGCCGCGATCTTCTGGTCCAGGAGCGTGCGAAATGGCAGCGCCACGCGTTCCCTGCACCTGCACCTGCTCAGGATGCGCCTCAACCAGCCCGACTCCGGCAGCCTCGCTGGCTTTTCCGCATCCAGCATGCAGACTGGAGACCGCATGGCCAGGCTCAACATTCGGGAAACGTGGCTGCTCCCGCCGCTGCTGTGCTGGGCCTGGCTGTTCCCGGGCACCCTCGCGCCTGCCGCGCTGGCCGACGGCGCCTCTGGCCCGCCGATTTCTTCTCGAAGCTGGCTGCTGCTGCTGCTGCCGCTGGGTGGCCTCCGCCGTCTTCGAGATGTCCCCCGCGAGCTTTGCTGGCGCCCACTTCTGGGCCTTAGCGTCCTTGGCAAGCTTGACGAGCTCTGCCGCGAACGCCTCGATCCCTTCCGTTTTCCTCCTGGCGTTTCGCCCCGGCGGCGGTTTCGATTCGCCTCCTCCATCCTCCTGGCGCCCTGCCTCCTGGAACCCACTGAAAAGCTTGGCGGGTCCCTTGTTGAGGGCTGCGACTTCGCCTGGAGCCGCTCCTCCGCACACGTTGGCAACCCTTGTGGCTGTCTCCTGCGCTTCCGCCCCCCCGCCCCCGCGTGCTCGGGCGGCTCCTTCCCGTGCCTTAGCTGTTGGCCAGAAAGCTTATGATTCTGCGGCGTCTAGCTCGGCCATAAATTCAAATTCCGGACGAGATGCAGACGGCGAGCCCGAGGGAGACGCGGGCGAAGGCGGGGCCCCGAAGCATGTCCTCAACGCGCGGCGCCTGCAACGCCACCTCGGTCGAATGGCCCAAGGAGCCTCGAGGTACCAAGCCCTCGGGGGGTTCGAATTCCGAACGAGACGCAGAACCGGGCGAACCCGATGATGGCGTTGGAGACGCAGACGGAGCGTCGAAGCCTGCCCTCAAGTCAAGGCTCGACGCCTGCAGAACCACCTTCCTCGCCCAAGAAGTGGGGGGAGGCGCCCGGCCTCGCCCTCGCCTCCGGCAGCGGCTGCCCCGGGTCGCTGGCAGCGCTCCTCCTCGGCCCCCCCCAGGAACTGACGGCCCCAGCCTCAGCCTTCTGCTCTCCTGCCTCCGCGCCTTCCCAGCCTCCTGCTCCGGGCGAGGGCGCGCCGCGCAGGGGCCCGGGCGGCCTCCTGGCTGGCCGCCGTCGTCGGCCAATCTTCATCCCTGGCAGCGCGAAGCATGCCTTTCTCCAACGTCGCCATGTCGCGCGTTCGAGGGGGGGCCAGTCATCGCCAAGAAGTGCAACGTGTCCAGGCGGGCCGACCCGAGGGGGCCGAAGAGAAGTCGTCGGAGAGGGTCGCCCGTCCGAGGGCGGCGAATCGCGGCCACAGACCTCGCCCGCGGGGACCCGCGGCGCCAGCGTCGCGCTTGCCCACGTCACCGTCAAGGTGAAACGGATTCTCGTCGTCGAGATTGAGCCATTGGTCGGCCTGGCCATCGCTAGGGTCGTCGGGCGGCTGCTGCGGGGCGCATCGGCAAGTGGCGGCGCGCCTCCGCGGTCGGGGCGGGGACCTATGCGTCGAGCCCATGCTCCGTCTAGCCCGCCCGCCGGCAAGGGGGGGGGTCGTTGCGCCGCCGGTCGCAAATATCCGCGGCAACACGGCGCGCGACCACGCACACGCGGCGCCACATCTTCGTCGCCTCCAGGACGTCCGGGGCAATGTGTCGCAGGGCCGCGGCGTCGGTGACCGGGGCGTCCGCCTGCCGATTGAAGTATTCGGCGGTGGCGGAGATGAGGCCGGCCGCGGCCCCCTCCTCGCCGAGGTGGTTGACGACCTGTTCCGCCCAGCGCATGTCGGGCTTGACATTCAGGACCTGGTGGGCGCGGGCTCATAGGTCGAACTGTTTGCCTGGTGCCCCGTCCAGGATGGCCTGGGAGCCGTCAGCGACGGCTTGATTGTCAACGAAGATGTGCACTGCCCTTTCGGCCGCGGCCACCAAGTGGAGCAGCGCCAGCGTCTCAGCGCGCTGCGCCGTCGATTGGGAGAAGCCGTAGACTCGGGCCGAGTAGTTGAGCTGGTGCGCGGATCCGTAGAAGACCCCGTGCGCGGCGCAAGCGAGGGGCGATGGGCCCGAGCGGGCGCGGGTCCTCCTCGAACGCGCCGCAGTGGCGCGCGCGGGGTGAGCGCTCCCCGCTGCGCCTCGCCAGGTGGCATGCTCTTCTCCCCTGCTCGTCGCAGTGCCGCTGCTAAGTGTGGTCGCCTCGCCTCCAGACAAGCAGTTGAAGAGGGGGCCCCGCTGCCGCGGGGCGCAGCAGGATTTGCCCTTGTGCGGGCCGAACACATAGTAGCGAACGCGTCCGCGCCCTGGGGATACTGGTGCAGGGGCCCAAAGTCGTGCCTGGACTCGGGGATGCGACGCACGAAGGCTATCCGCTGGACGTCCTTAGTCCTCAGTGCGTGCGCGACGGTGCACGTCAGAGCCTCCGCCCAGGGGGCGCCTGCACCCTAGTCGTCACGCATGCTGCGGAACTGGGGCCAGGGCCAGTCGAGCGGCGCGACTGTCCGGGGGCAGCACCCGAAAAGCGTTGCGTGAAGAGCTTGAAGAGGGCCCCGGTCTTAGCGACGGCTTCGGCCGCGTGGAGGACCTCTTGAACCCAAACGACAACCGGAGTGTGGTCCGGCACAACCTCGGCCCTGCTTTGTCGGCAAATATTCACGGTGCCTCCGAACTGGTAGAGGGCGCCGTCAAGGTGGGATAGCGCACGCGGCCTCGGGTGAGCGGCGGAAGATGGTGACGGCCATCTCCGTGTCTGGTAAGTCGATGTTTCTCGGTCCAAAAACGATGATCGCGTCGCCAACAGCGTTGTCTGCTGGATGCGCGGCGACGAGGGCGGTCCAGTCAACTGGGTCGAGACTGAAGGACGAAGAGTCCGCCACCTCAGAAGCACCCCGCCGCGGGCTGGTCTGGGGGGACTTGTGTAGGGCGACGAGATCTATGCATATCCACTGCTCCCGGCCAGGCCAATCCTGGGCCCAAGAGCTGTGTATACGCCCTCCTGGCTTGGCCAGGGAGGCATATACACCGCTCCTGGGCCCAGGATGGGCCTGGCCAGGAGCAGTGGATATGCATAGATCTCGTCGCCCTATTGTGGTGCGCTGGTGGCGGTCCTGGTTCCCGGCTGACTTGTGCCTGCCGCACAAGCGCTGGAGGCTGATCTTGAGCTATGTCCTTGCTCTTCTCGCGGAACACGGTGGCGAGTTCGCCTGGGACCCTCTTGGCGAGCTCGTCGTAGGCGCGTGGGGCGCGGTCGGCGCCTCCAGTACGGAGGGCAGCAATGCACGCGTCCTTGCAGGCCAAGGGCAGCCGGCAAAGTGTGCTCGACGGCGCGTGGGCCCAACAACAGCGGAGCCGAGAGGGCAGCACGTCGGCGCGGGCCCCTGGCCATATCGCGCGGCGCGGGAAAGAAAAAAAATGATACCAACTGGTTTCGCGCCGGAGGCAACCTGACCATGGGCATTTAGAGCGACCCCTGAAGGTAGGCACTCGGCGGCAACGCTCGCTCCACCATGGAGCTCGAGGCCCGGCTAGTGAGAGAGAGAGGGAACAACACACAAAACAGTAGGGGGAGGGGACGGGAAGAGCGGGTGAAGGGGAGGAGGGGAAGGACGGGGAGGGGATGCAGGGGGGAAAACAGAAAGGAAGGATGGAATCGAACAGTCACAGTCTGGTATTAAAAAGGAGGGAGGAGGGAGAAGGGGGGAGTGGGAGAAGAGGAAGGGAAAGGACGGACGGAAGGGAGAAGGAAGGGGACGACGACGACGAATACCAACAGAGGCCAATCTGTTTCCACTGGCTGCTTGAGCAGTCTGCGGAAGAAACAAGAGGAGGGAGGAGGGAGGATGAGGGAGGCGGAGCAGGGGGAGAGGACGGGAGGAAGGGGAGTGGAGGGGACGGCAGGGGGGCTGAAGTTGGATAGGTGGGCATACCTCCCCTGGCTCCCCTGATGAAGACCAGAGGGCCCAGCGGCTCCTCGATGTCCAGCGGCAGCAGCAGCGATCGGCACGAGAGCTCCCAGCCCTGCGTCGTGTTCGCGGTGATGTTGAACGGCCTGGGCCCGGCAACAGGCCTTCCCTCCCGCACCCCGAGCCCGCCTTCTCCGGACCACGCCGAGCCTCGGCCTCGGCCACCCGGAGGCTCCCCGACCTTGAGGTCCGAGGAGTGGCCCCGAGAGCCGGAGCCCCTCCCGAATCCCGGCGTGGCCCTCACGTCAGCGCCCTGGCTCTGAGCTGCACGGGGCGCGAGCCGCACGCGCGCGGCCTCTGCAGGGGGCCCGCTCGAGGCGGCACGGTCAGGCTGCCCAAGACGATCGAGCTGCGAGGATGGCCCCTTCGGTGGCAACTCATGGGAGCCTCCCATACCAGCTTGCTGGCTCTGGCGGATCGACGCTAGTCGACACTAACTCGACGCGAACCCACGCCAATCCACGCTGAATCCGCGCTCTCTTACCCATTACCGAACGCAAATCGGCGCTAGCGCACTCTGAAGGCGGAACTGCGAGGGCAGTGATTTGCTCCCGAAGCCGAGGAGCCCCTGGGGAGCCCAGGAGGACTCCCAGGGGGCCGAGCGGGAGGCTGCACGATCGCCACTGGCGCTCCTGCACCAAGTGGGTCAGGACCCCTTCGGCGAAGCCTCCTGCTTGGGGAGCGTTCAGGGAAGCGTTTCGTGGACTGCCGGGTTGGGGGCTCCCCCCGCCTTGGCCGCGAGTAGTCCTCCGCCCCGACCTTGATGACCTGCTCGCCGAGGTCGAACTCGATGTCTAGTCCCTCCACGTTGCGGCAGTCAATGTCCTCTACGTCCGAGAAGGAGAACCCCGTGCACTACATCATTCCCCTCACTGCCCTCCCCTGAAGACGCATATGGCAGGCGAGTGGCACAGACTTCAAGCGCTCATCCAAGGTCCCCAGGCCCCCGACATCGTGACTCTGTTCACAGCGTGGACCCCTGGAGGTCTCGACCCCTTACTGAGGACCGACTGTTCGGCCCGAGCCCGTTTTGCCACGGCGCCGCAGGGCCAGTGAGGGATCCCGGAGCCCGAAGAGGGCCAAGAGCCCACGGCCGTGACTTCGCTCACGACGCGAGGGGGCCAAACCGGGGCCTGGGGGTCAGACATTGGCCCCCGGATTCCCGGATGCCCACCGAGGGGTGCGTCCGGGCCGGAATCTCGGGGCGGGTCCAGCCGTGGCGACGAGGAGCCCCCTGAAGCGGAAAAAGAACCAAAGACATTCAAAAACCTCGAACTTCGAACCCTGACATCCGCCGATATCATTGTTTCAATCCGCGGCGCCAGAAGCCGCGACCGATGCCCCAGCGGAAGTTGTTCGCCCCGGGTTATTTATGTATGGCCCTGAGGCCCGATAATGGCCCCAGGGCCGAGATCGAGGACAAAAAAAGCCCGTTGCCAACATCGGATCGCCAGATATCTGAGAAGTCTAGAGGATTCCCGAGCGGGTTCCGAGTAGATGGGGTCGGAGGATCGCGCCGCATCGCGGATGCATCGGAAATGCTGCGACGTCGGCGATGCACTGGCGACGTCGGCGATGTACTGGCGACGTCGGCATGGAGAAACTCGGGCTCCACATCGAGCCGCATCGCCGATGCACCGGCGACGTCGGCGCGATCCTCCGACCCCACCTGCTCTGACCCAATCTGGGAAGGCTAACAAATCCGAGCTTCGAAGCTCTGGCGTGGCAGCCCGCGTCCTCCGCGTCGCCGTCGCCGGCGTCCGGCGGCGGCACCCGGGCGAGCAGCCGCTGCATCGGCCGGGATACCTGGCGCGGCACGCCCAGAAGCGAGGTGCCCGTGTCCAAGATCGCGCGGCACCTGCCGGCGACTACGAAGGGTGTGGTTCGCAGATGGCATGGTTTGCAGCCTGCGCCTGGGGGGGGGGCGGGCGAGGACCTGGGCAGAGATCTCTGCCGCACCCTGGCATGGGCTCATCAAGCCCATTCCTTGGCGCAAGGTGGTGACCCCTGAGCCCCAACGGCGCCGATGGCAAGCCACGCCCTGGCGTGAGCACACCCATGGCAGCCGCCGAACCTGCCCGCCTCGCAATCCTCGACGACGTCGCCCCCGATGCGCACCGACTGGATCGTCACCTCAGCGACGGAGGCGACCCGGGCCCAGGGTCTTCGGGCGTTGCTCGTGGGCTCGTGGAGGCTTTCCTGCCTCGGAATGCGCTCCAGCAGCTGCGCATCGCCACGAGCGGTCCGGGGGGCCCCCGACTCGTCCCGAACGGCCGCCTGAGGCCCCAGCTGTGGCCCCAAGAGAGACCAACACAGAAGCGACGAGGGAGGGCACGGGAAGCTCGCGCCGTGGCGACTTGCGCGCTGGCCTCCAACACCGCGTGGACTACTCACCCTTGGGCGACCGCGGCGTGCCCATCGCGGCGATCGTGCGATATCGGCCGATTCCAGGCCGCTGGCGGCGGTCAACCCTGAACTTGGAGGCCTTCCACCTGTGGAAGTAATCCTAGCTGTTGGTGTTGGCTGTGATCCTTGGGCCACCCAAAAAAACCCGGACAGGACCACCATCACGGAGATCGGGACCACCTTCCCTCGGTGGAGGCGAACCGCAGATGTTGGTGTTGGCGCCAGGCCTCCGATGATGGACCGTTGTGGGGCCGCCGCCGCGTCAGCGCGGCACGACCCTGCCGTCACGGGGCCTCGCGCACGAGGACGCGGCGACCTCGCGCAGCGGCCCACGCGGGCCGGCGGCGGGCAGCGCCGCGCGGAGGGACAAGGGCGCCTTCGCGCGACCTTGCGCGGGCAGCCTGCGCGCAAAACAATATCCTGGCGAAGAGCCCAACCTCATGCAGCTGGGAGCATCGCGAGGCAAGTGAGACGAAGGAGGGGGGTCACGAAAAGTGTGGGGTGCTGTGCCGAAATGGGCGCGGGAGCGCCATGCGAAACCTTTCACTGGGGCCTTCGGTGGAGCCACCTTATGGGGCCACAAAACGTGTGAGGGGTGCGCCGAGATGGGTGCGGTGGCGCCATGCGAACCCTCCCACTGGGGCCTCCGGTGGAACTCCCGATGGGGCACAGAACGTGTGAGGGGTGTGCTGACACTGGTGCGATGGCGCCATGCGAGCCCTTCCGTTGGGGCCGTCGGTGGAGCTCTCGATGAGGTCACGAAGCGTGCGAGGGTGTGCAGAAATGTGCGCGGTGGCGCCATGCGAGCCCTCCCGCTCGGGCTTTCGGTGGAAATCTCTATGGGGCCACGCATCCGTGAAAGGAGTGCGCCGAAATGGGCGCGGGGGCGCCATGCGAACCCACCCACTGGGGCCTTCGGTGGAGCTCCCAATGGGGGCACGAAACGTGCGAGGGGAGTACTGACGTTTGTGCGGTGGCGCCATGGGAGCCCTCCCACTGGGGCCTTCGGTAGAGCTTTCTATGGGGCCACAAAATGTGTGAGTGGTGTGCCGAAATTGGTGCGGGTGCGCCTTGCGACCCCTTCCACTGGGGCCCTCGATGCGAGTCGTGTGACGGGTGTTCTGAAATTGCTGCGGGGGCGCCGTGCGAACCCTCGCACTGGGGCCTTCGGTGGAGCTCCCGATGGGATGAGAGAAGAAAACATGTGAGGGGTGTGCCGAAATTGGTGAAATGGCGCCTTGGGAAACCTTGCCCTTGCACTGGGGCCGTGGGTGGAGCTCCCTAGGGGGCCACGGATCCGTGCAAGGAGTGTGCCGAAATGGGCGCAGTGGCGCCATGCGAACCCTCCCACTGGGGCCTTCGATGCGAAACGTGTGAGGCGTGTGCCGAAATGAGCGCGGTGGCGCAATGCGGACCCTCCCAATGGGGCCTTCGATGGAGCTCCCGATGGGGGACACGAAGCGTGTAAGGGTGTGCCGAAATTGATGTGAGGGCGCCGCGCGAGCCCTCCCACTTGGACCTTGGCCACGAAGCGCGTGAGCGGTGTAATCACAAATGTTGCTGGTGATGATGACGAGGTGGCAGGAGGACGAGGATGAGGAAGAGGAAAGGAGGGCCTGCGCGCCAATGCCCGCGCAGTCGACCCCCCCTTCGGGGGCGGGCAGAACCCACCTTAGCAAACAACCCTTTGGTGGAAACGACCTGGGGCCAGGCTTCGGTAGGCGCAGGCCCGCAAAACGCACGGGCGCAGCACCCTCTCCAGAACCGAACAAGGGCAATTCGCTAATACCGGTCGGGCAGGATGGTGGGTTCTATCAACCTCCGACATGCAGGGGCAGCCTGCGGGCGAATGCCCGCGCACCCAGACATCCTCTGGTATCATTGTTGTCCATCCGCGGCCCCACAGCTCTTGACCGCTTTCCCAGGGGGTAATTTGTCGTTCCGGGCCTATTTTGATAGTCCCGGGGCCTGAAGCCGAAACCGAGGAAAAACGTAAGGACTGACAAAATCATATCTTTGGAGATCTGGGCAGTCGCCTCCCTTGTTTTTTACGTCGCCCGCCTGCCAGTAGCCCAGCTCGGGCATGGCCACGGACGTCCAGCTCAGCGCCGAGGCGGCCCGCTCCGACTGGTAGCCGCCGAAGGAGATGGTGCTGAGGCTCTCGTCGTTGCGCGCGAGGAAGACCGAGAACTGGGGCTGCATGGTGGAGTGCTCGTCCAGCATCCTCAGAATACGTCTGCGGCAACTCATGGGAGCCTACCGTACCATCTTGCTGGCTCTTGCGAATCGACGCTGCTCGATGCCAGTCGACGCTAAATCGGCGCTGATCGACGCTAGATCAGCCCTTTCTTATCGACCACCAGACGCCAGCGCACGCTAATGCACTCGAAAAACGGATTGCGAAGACATGCAAGGCCCCCATGATTTGCGACCGAAGAATTCGATGAGGGATCAGGAACCCTCAGGAAAGGAGTCCAGGGTCTTCGAGCTGGTGGACCACCAATGGAAGCTTGGCCATGGAACACCGCAGGGCCTGCAGCCTCCTGGGCATCTGGCATGTACGAATCCAGCTCAGCGCAAGCCCAGCCCAGCCAGTTTAGAAAAAGATGCGCTGCAGTTTTTTGGGGGACTTCCTAAAACCAACTCAGCCAATGCGCAAGGCCAGCTCAAGGGCTGAACATCGTGACCTGCCAGCAGACGAAACGTGGCGTAAACAACAACTTCTGGATGTTCGAGCGAGGTTTGTCGGTCGGCGCTGGACCCCCCCCTTTCTGCACCCCTGGCGGCGCCTCCGGAGCCGCACCCAGCGCGCTTCGCGCGCCAGGGAAGGTGTGTGGGCACGAAGGTCTGGCGACCACCAAAGAAATCCGCCCGCACCTCCGAACAATCATCTTTATGCCGTTGCTTGTGCTTCAGGCCTCGGAGAGAATTAGCAAACATGCATGCCACATTAATCTGTCAACGCCCCCCCCAATGATCAAAATTGCAGGGGGATTTACAAAATTCAATCGACCGCAATCTGCTCCGTGCGTGCCAACTTTGAATTTGGGGGAGAGAGTAAGTGTCCACTAATTGGTTCCCTCTGCCGTTCTAAGTCCTTCTGAAAAAACTGAATTGCGAGTTCAGCGCAAGCGCGTCGAGCCCGAGCCCGAGCACGCCGTCGAAGACGAAGAGCCCGAACGGATCCTCAGACATCTCGTTCGCAAGCAGCAGGCGAACTGTGGTGCAATCCTTCGGACTTGGCCCCAGGCATACGCGATCTTCGCAAAACTCACCGACGACCTTGCCCGTACCGAAAGTGATTGACAACTGCTCGCGCTTGCTCGTGGGCGTGCCTGGAGGGATCATCTTGCCATTGTGGTCTACATCGAGGGTTGTCCCAGACAGCGAGCGATTGTACAAACGATGCTTGGAGCAGGTTTCGGTCTCACAACCGGCGGAGGGAAGCACGAGGTATGCAGACCCAGTGTCGAACACCACGGTGAACTCTTGAGGCTCCGGCGCTCCCACGGAGATGTTTCCAAAATACGACGTCTTGTATGCAAACGTCGTACCGTTCCTCGCTATGGGCACGTACTGCTTCCTCAAAGGAACGGTCACGAGGCTGCTGGGGGAGCCGTTCCCCACGCTGCTCTCCACGCTAATCAGGGCAGGCACCACCGCAAGGCTGGCGGTCCAAGAAGCAACAATAACGAGGCACTGCAGGGCAGCCATGGCGGCTGGACTGCGTACACAGATGGACGCCCAACAAAGCAAATCCTGAGAGCCCCGTCTTTTTTATAATTCGCCATTAGAGCCCGTCTTTAACATATCGCGATGACGCCCGTGACCAGCCCCGCCCGCCCCCCTCCCCCCCTGGTCACGTCACGATTCGCGCCAGTGCCGCCTTGGAACTAGCCATTCTTAAGCGTTCCCATACGGCGCCAGCGCGAGTCGTGACGCGACCGGCCCCCTTTCCCCCCTCGCCCTTCCCGGTCACGCCCTTTATCGCCAGGGATTTGTTCAAACGCTCTCTTTGATGAAGCTTCATGCGTCATGCTGGAAACTGCGAATTTGCTCGGCTGGGCTACCCTCTGGGTGTGCAAATCAATATGTTGTTATGTAGTTAGACCTTGGGAGAAACCGTGAACATAGGCTGACTGAGCCACTGGGTGCAGAAGAATGGAGACGAGGGCAGGAAAGACAAAAAGACGGAAAGGTGGAGTGGAGATGGGGCAGGTGGAGACAGGGAGCAGGAGGGCTCAAAGGATGAGGAGCGAGAGGGAGAGGGAGAGAAGAGAGAGACGAAGAGAAGGCGATAAGGATAGTTTGAAAGGGAGGGAGGGAGAGAGAGAGAGAGAGAGGGAGAGAGAGAAAGAGAGAGAGAGAGAGAGCGGGGGGGAGAGAGAGAGAGAGAGAAAGAAAGAAAGAAAGAAAGAAAGAAAGAAAGAAAGAAAATAAGACAAGAAGAGAGAGGGAAAGAGGAACAAACAAATATGTGAAAAAGAACGGATATGAGAGCGGGGAGGCAACCCGGAGGACCTCCACGAAAGCATCCCCCGATGCCGCCGGGATGGTCTGCGCAGCGGTGCTGGCCCCATTCGAGAACCGATGTGGCGTGGCCAGCCTCATCGAAATCGGTGGGTGAGGTTGAAGACGAGGCTTGGGAGGAGGGGGAGGGGACCAAACCTGGGAGAAAGGATAAGGGGAAGGAGCAAGGGGGGACGTGGAAGAGCGATGAGGAACGAGGGAAGAGAGGAGGTGAGAGAAACAGAGAAGGAGATGACAGGAAAACGGAGGAGAGAAAAGGAGAGATAATACAAGACGAGGGGGAGGAGGAATACGAGTAGGAGGAGGAGGAGGACGAGGAGGAGGAGGAGGAGCAGCAGGAGCAGGAGGAGCAGGAGGAGGAGCAGGAGGAGGAGGAGGATGAAGAGGAGGAGGAGGAGGAAGAGGAGGAAGGGGAGAGAAGAGAGAAGAGGGAGGAGGAGAGAGGAGGAGAGGAGGGAACGAGGGAGTGGGAGGAGGAGAGAGGAGAGAGGAGGAGGGAGGAGAGAGGAGGAGAGACGAGAGAGGATGAGAGAGGAGGCGAGAACTCAACAGTTCGGACAAGTCTGCCTGCCCTGGCCCGGCGGGTTGCAAATGCCGCCCGGGCCAGCCAGCCTCAATGGCGGGAGGCGCCGCAATACGAACAGGAGTGGGGAAGCACACCCTCGCCCCTGGCGCGGACTAAGGGGCCCCCGGCTGAAAAAAACGGATCTGTGGTGATCACGGCGTGACGCGCCCTGTCTGCACATCCGAGTAACAGGCGCTGGTCTGCAGCGCGCTCTGGCCCGCGCGCATCGGCACCTCAATGAACCGTGGCGCCACCTCGGTGCAGTCCTCGCAGCGGGCCAGTGCAGCAGCCGCGGGATAGATGCCGTTCTCGAAGCGCACCCGAGGAGAGGCTAGCTCTGGCGTGCTAGCGCAGTGCTTCAAGATGCGCCTGGGATCTTTTTCTGGAGAGTGGCCGCGAAAGAATAGGTCGGACGGAAAGCTAGTTGCAGGCCGTTCCAAGCGGACTGAGCCCGTTGGAACCTGTCCACCAGAGGACTAGACTCTAGACTGTTCCTGGATGGAAACAAGGGCTTGCGCCAGTTTTGTGGCCCGCTGTTGCATCAACGCAATGCTGGCGATGAGAACCTGGCTGTTGCCTGGCAGCCACGAGGTGGTGCGCGAGGGCGCGCCTGCGATCCGTTCGCTGCATTGGTGATCCACCAGTGCCAGCACCCTCTTGGGTGGTAAGGCGGTCGCCAATCCCCGTGCCCTTGCAGGCGGGAAAACGACCTGACGGCTACGCGCGATGGCCACAGGGGCAAGGTCCTAGTGGACGACCTCCACTTGAGGCACCGCTCCCGTGCCTTTGCTGGCACCGTTCTGTGCTTTCGTCGTCGGCGTCGTTGCCGTCGCTATCGTGACCTCCTGATGGAGTAGCAATGGTTTCTTCGTGGTTATCCAAAGCCACACCTTACCTTAAGTCGGGCCTGTCCCCCTACAGGGGGATTTTCGACGAAAAATAGAAAATATTCAAAACATACTCCAGACTGGTCAAACCATACAGCAAAAATAGTCCCCCGACTACTTTTGTGACTATGTTTTGATATCCCCCCTGTAGAAGGACAGGCCCGACTTAAACCTAACCCCAATGGGTCCGCGTGGTCTTCTGCGAAGTCGACGGCGCGCCCCCCCCATGGGTCGGTGAGATCGTCGAGGAAGCCTGGCCCAGGTGGGCCTTGCTGTTGCGAGGGGTCGCCAGGTGGGCCTGGTGGCTCGCCGCCTCCCTGCCCGACGGTGAGCGGCTTGGGCTTCATCTGGCTAAATTCAGCCCTGGAGTAACCCGCGCTTCTGTCTGGCAAGGGCAACGCGCGGTGACGGCAGCCATAGATGTCGGCCGCGACGCCGTGGTGAACCTCCGCGAATACGCGTCGCCACTTGGCGCCGTCGATGACATCTTGCTGTGGGATATGTAGACGTGCTCTGGCAGTGGCGAGTTCATCTGCGCGGCGGCTCGAAGCCTCTGCCATCGGCGCGGTCGACCTTCATTTATGCCTCGGTCGCTGAGATTACTTTCATCTTTCTGGGCCTTGAGCATACCAAGTTTGGCTGGCAGAGGTTGGCGACGGTTTTCCTGCGGGGAGGGCCTCACATCCGTCGACGACGGCTTAGTTGTCAACGAATGCGTGGGCCGGCGGCTCAGCAGCAGCCGCAAGGCGGAGTAAGGCGAGGGCCTCAGCGAGATGCGCGGACTGGGCCAAGCCGCGCACCAGAGCTGAGTGGTCAATTAAACGGGTGATCAGGCCCGTAGTAGATTCCGAGACAAGCCCTGACAAGGAGCGGGTGGGCCTGGTGCGCGCAGGTTCAGTCGGTGGCCGTGTGGATCCACCTGGCCCCCGCGTCGTCGTCGCATTCTCCGAACAGATGCAGATGCATTTTGGATTCCCCTGCGGGGGGGCCAGAATGGGCTGTGGGAGCACTTCGTGCGTTAGTTAAGGTTGTCTCAAGGTCCAGCAGCAGCGGGTCTTCTTTAAGCGGCCCAGCATGCCTTGTGCGGGGCGGAAGGTCCCTCCAATTGCTGAGCCATGATCACGGTTTCCCAGGCGGTCCGTTCCCTCTTCCAGGGAGGGCGCATCCAGACCGCGCGCTCCTGGGTTCTATCTTCTTGGTGACAACATCTGCAAAACGGCGATGGGTCGGCCGCGATGCCCGAGCGGACTTTCCTCTGCTGGGCGCGGTTGCCGCCGCGAAGGTAGTTGCGGGGCGGCCGAGCTGCCTGGGCGCGCAGGTAACATTTGCCGCTGGTTCATCGCAACCAGGCGTTCGCACAATAGAGACGACCTCGTTTCACCGCGGCGACTGCGCCAAAGTCGCGCCCGGTGGTAGGGGTGCGTCGGAAAAAGGATCTTCCTTGCGTTGCTCGGAATGTGCGAACAAACAAACTGACCGGAAGAGGCAACCGCGAAAGGCGGACATCCCGGTCGTCATGCATAATGTGACAGGATGGCCAGTTCACGCCAGTTCCACCCCAGTTGAACATTAGTTTGACAGAGTCTGCCCACAGGGCCACCTCCTTGGAAGGTCTGCGCGCGGTCGCGCACTCTTCGGCTTTGGGCCTTGAGGGTGGCCGCGGGCCGCGAGTCATAGCGAAGGGCATTCGACGTGGCGCCGTTGTCTAATCCGCTCGGTCTTTCACGTCGGTCATGGCGCGCGTAAATTCGTGCAGCCGCTGGGCGGCCGTGAGATTGAGCGGTTGCGATAATGGCGCGCGTGGCGAGAAATGTGACCGAAACTACGCGAGCAATAGACTTGGACGCGCTCGCGCTGATGGCAGGTCCACGCGCTTCATTTGAATCGAAAGTGGCGACTCGCACGCAGGCGGCGGGGGCGAGGACAGCGCGGCACCGTAGCTAACGGTCGATGGGGCGGCGCTGCGTGTCGGAGGGTTGTGCCACGCGATGCGCGGATTTTGCGCAGGCTTGTGGTCGCGTTCTGATGCGGCTGACGTTGGGCCCCATGGCGCGCTATTGAATGAGGCTTGCCGCCTGAGCAACGAGCACAAGCATCTGTCGCGAATGCGGCATGCTTGCTCAATTGCTGCACGCGTTGCCGATTTTGTCTCCGACCACTTGCAGGCGCAACGCGAAACTGCACGCGCAACCTGCTTTCGTAGGAGTGGGTCAACTGTATTGTTGGTGTTAAGAAGGCTGCGTGCAAACACTCGAAATACGGTGCATCGTTCAAGTCCCGCGACGCGCGTGATTAAATACATTATGAATCAGCTAATTGCGCCCGTGGTGCGTGGTGATGTGTCGCTGGGTAATATTGTATTTGCTGCCCGGTCCCTTTGAACACGTTGTCGTCAACGCGCCTAAGTGATACCCGATACTATCGAGCAGAATGTTGGCACTCATGCAAGTGTTTCTGAAACGCATGAAAGAAAAGGGGTGCTGCCCTTCAGAGTGACCGCGGCTTCTTGCAGCAAGGAATGGCGCTCGAACGATTCAACTATCTGCGCAAGGTTGAATCCGACATGCTGCGATAAAATCGGATGTGGTATGTGCGGGCATTGCGCTCGCATATGGTGGTGCGCTTCGTCCCACCCTCGTTATACTGTACAACGTCTCTCTTTCTTGCGATGTCGTGTGGCAGGTACCTGCAAGGGTGACGGTCTGTCGTTGTCAAGCGCGTTGTGTTTGTTGTCAACTGCTCCAGGCACAGAAGAAGGTCGCGCTTGCTCATCAGCGAAATGCGGTTTAAGTGGAGCAGTGGCTTTTGTGCAGGACAACGCGCTTACTGTAATGCACAAGTCACATTGTTGCGATCGTTCCCCGTGAAGCTGATGCTGCGGATCTTGTCTTATTCCTCCGCCCGATCCCCCTGTTCCATGCCCTTGTGTCCACAGCACTCGTTCATGTCCTCTGCCGTGTCTCGCAAGTGCCTGTATTGATGTCCGCCCAACTGTTCATCGTGTCACAATGTTGCATGGGCCTCCATATGCCTCCCTGACACCGAGGCAGATGCCCTGCTATGGGGACAAGTCGATCTTCAGACTAATGGAGCGCAGTGTTCCCCGTACGCCACCCATGTACAAACTAAAGTGTTCCAGGCCCTGTTGGGTGTGAAAGCCGAGCGGCAACACTAACATAATGGCAACCCTAACGTAATGAGTGCGCATTCAGATTTCTCGGCTGTCTGCCTTACTCCTCATCCATCTCCATGTTCGCCTGTAGCATTCATATCCCGCTGCGCAGCACTGTGATGAAAGTTGCACTCGGCCTTTGGCTACCTCAGCTCTCTGTGTTCGCAAGTGCTGGTCAACCTCGAAGCGGGCTGTCGACCAACACTGCCGTTGCGTGAGCGGCGACCACCACGCGGCATTCAAAGGGGCATCGCGCCAGAGAGCGATTGCAATCCTTGGCGGAAGCAGGATATGATAAAATGTTGAAGCGCTTGCCGACTTTTCAATGCACCCGAAGGTATCAATGTACGCAACGTTTGGCAACGCTACCAATGATGATGCATAGTATCGCATCGTACCGCCTCTCGTTTTACCATTTTCTGCGTGTTAATGGTCATGTGTGTTCCCATTGGCAATCTTCATCTAAACGCACGCCTGCTCCACCTGACCCCTTGCGCCGTCATATTTATCGTCCCATCCCCCATCCGCCCTCCCCCCTGCTAAAAACTCTTTCCTCCCCTCCACCGTCGCCATTATCCCCCTAACCTCCCTCCCCAATCCTCCTCCTCCCATCCTCCTCTTCATGTCCCCTTCGTCGTCATCAAAATCCGTCTCATCATGATCCCCACCTTCTGCTTGATCCCCCCACGTAACCCTCCCGCTGCACCACTGTGTGCGAGCACAAACTGACATGCACTCAGGAATCAACAACGAGATTTGCAACGAGAAGATCGAGAGCTTTTCATTTTGCAAGCGCAAGCCACTGTTGAAAAAGAAGGGGATGTCGCATACCATCCTGAATGCCGCCCATGTGTGGACATCCTTCTTCCTCGGAATCCCACGCTGGTGCGTGGAACGTTTCAACATGCAGTCGATTGTGAACAGAAAGGTAGCGACCGCACGCAAGAACATGATCAACTGTCCGCCACCGTGCCTCGAGGAGCGAAACGGAATTAACCCCAGGCTCTCGTGTGCTCCTTGCCCTGAATCCTGGATACTGGCCTGGTAATGGAGCCCCAACCATGCATTTCCCGACTGTTCGGGCTGCAAGTAGCAGAGCGGCGCTCTGCTAGGTTACCTCAAAGCATGCGCACTCGTTGCTCCTCCCCTTACTAGCAGAGCGCTGCTCTGCTGACTGGCACCAAAGCAGGGTTCACCATCCTGCTCGGGCTCTGATTCGCAGAGCGCCGCTCTGCTAACTGGCCTCAGAGCATGCGCGCGTCCCTCTCACTCGCAGAGCGCAGCTCTGCTAATTTTACTCAGAGCATGCGCACCCGCTGCCCATGCTATAGGCTATATTCCTCATCGCCCGGCGATCGCCCGAGGCGACCCCGAGACAGCCCAAGACAACACCGAAACTTCCGAAGAAAGTCTGAGACGGACGAGAAGGTCTGAAGATGACACCCTGACCAATGACGCAAGCACAGCAGATCGACGCCCGCTCCGATCCAAAATACCCGAATTTTCAACGTCGTTGTGTCTTAATGCGTACAACCCGCATAATAGAGAAACGCATCCAACGAACATCTCGAGAGGCATGCCAAGAAACAACGGTTTTCAAGAGGCCTCTTAACCACAGCCCAGCCCCTACACCTCCCCGTCTGTGTTTTTATTATGCCCTCGTCCTCCTGCCCCGATATAACGCGAACGACCCAGAGAAGCACACCACGCAACACTCCACGATCACAAGACAGTCCACAAGTGACCAGACACCTCAGGAGTAGCCCAGCTAAACACCAAAGATACCTCCAAGAAGCGTCCGAAGAGAATCCCAAGAAACCCTCACATGCATCGAACGAGCCTCTGACCCACAACCACAACCCAGGCACCGTGGCGGGATGGGCCGTAGGCCACTAGATAAAAAAATGCCGACACATCCACCCTACAGCACGAGGGACATCAAGAGGCGGAACGAACGTCCCTGCCTCCCGACCACGCGGTCTGGCCGAGGCCGCAGCCACCTTTTTTTCCGAACGGGCGACAAGTTCACACATGGCGACCACCTGCGAACCGCAGGTGTGAGGTGTGGCTAAGCATATCCAAGCATAACATGCTCTGCGGAACGCTATGCGGATTCATTGGAAGAGAAACACTAACTTCGGACGAACAGCGTTAACACAACCAGGACAGCAAACGATGACACCTGTCTCGCACAAACACGGCGTGTCCGATGCTTACAAAGAGCGCCGCATACAAGGAACATGGACAACGCAATGACAAAACGACACACATGCGACACCATGAATGTCGTTCAAACGTTGAGCATGGAAGTCTACCAAACATACAACGATGCAACATACATCATCTGCCAACACAAACGCCAAGTGCCCGATAGTGATCAGAATGTCCCCAGGCACCACGGAAAGTGCAATCGAAAACAAACATGCGGAACGAGATGCCGATATCACCCAGAGCCCACCCGAAAGGCTTCGGGAGACAAAAGCCAGGGGGAGTTGCTTCCTCAAGGGACCCCGACTCGCAGAGTGTCGCATGTCCCCACCCCCCTCCCGAGGCCACGATTCCTCGCAAATACTGTTGGTCTGAGCTCCCGAGGCCACGATCTCATGTAGAAAACTGTGTCTTCGTCCCGAGCTTCCAAGTCGGCTGAGGCAGGCAACCAAGGCCGCCAAGACGGCCCAATATGCCTCGAAGGCGGCCCAAGATAGCTCCAAGGCGGCCCAAAATGGCTTCCGCAACGGCCCAAGAGGGCCACAAGAGAGGACCCCCAACATGGTCCGAATAATGCAAGATTGTAGAGTTCCTGAACGATCTTCGTTCGCATTCTCGCTTTCTTGGACTTCCGTCAGCCCAAGGAGCCTCCAAGAAGGCAAGAGGCCACCTGGAGGGACCCAGTTCGTCTTTAGAAGGTCCTGCGACGGCCCAAGAGGGCCTCCAAGATAGCCCCACGAGACCCCCAGCACTGCTCCACAGGAAGCCAAGACAATTCCAAAACGGCCCATATAAACTCCATGCAAGCTCCGTGTCACATCTGCCCGCCTTACTCGTCCTCCTTCTCCTCCTCCTCCTCCTCCTCCTCCTCCTCCTCCTCCTCCTCCTCCTCCGACCCCTCGTCATCAGCAGCACCACCACCATTATTATCAGCATCATCAGCACCAGCACCAGCATTATCATCAGCAGCTTCATCATCCGAGCCAGAATGAGGAGCCGCCGAACCCGATGGCGAAGACGCAAATCAGGAGGGGGAGGCCGTCGACGAGGCGCTCTGAAGACGGCGGGGGAGCGGGTCCGAGCGCATTTGGCGCTTCTATGGGCTCCGCCCTCCCTCCCCCCCTCCCTTCTGGCCGCCCTCCCTTCCTCTCTCCCGCCCCCCTGAACTCGTCAAACAACTTAGATCCTCCTTTCTGGATGAAGAGCAGAAGGATGAGGAGGAGGAGGAGGACGAAGAGGAGGAGAAGGAGGAGGAGGACGTGGAAATGAGGAGGAGATGGAAGAGGAGGAGGAAGAGGAGGCCGTGGAGGAGGAAGAGAAGGAGGAGGAGGAGGAGGAGGAGGAGGAGGAGGAGGAGGAGGAGGAGGAGGATGCGGGCCCTACATCAGCCACTCCCTGGTTTCGTCCAGTTTGCCTTAGCCTAAGCCAGGATTCTGACGGCCGCGTGCCCTGCGGGGGGAAAGCTGCCAGCGTTTGGACGCTTCGTCCATGGTGATGGCCTCCCTCGCTCCTTCCTCGCTGCCGCCCCTCCCCCTCCCTCGCCCCCCCCTCCCCCGCGCCAACCCCTCCCTCGCTCATTCCTTCCCACCCCGCCCTTCCCCTATCCTTCCCTGCCCCCCACCACCCCTGTCCCGTCGTCCCCGCCTCGCTCCCCCAATTCCCTCCGGCAACTTCGTCGTCTCCTCCCCACCTTGGGAACAACAAAATACCTCATACGGTTGCTCCTCAAACCGCTCCCTGGGCGTGTTCTGATCAGGATCTCGGGGCGAATCCAGCCGTGGCGACGAGGAATGGGCAGGGCTGGCGGTAGATGCTCCTCCTCTGACCCTCTCTCCTTCCCTGCCCCTCCCTGGGCCGGGCGGAGGGACTGGGTGCGATTAGGCATGGCGGGGCGGGAACGCAAGGGGGGGGGAGCACGGAGGGACGGCCCCGCCAGCGCCAGGCATCTGGCACCCTGGCTCGACGCGCGCGGCAGAGGGAGGGGGGGGGGGGGGAGAAGAGGGTCAGAGGAGGAGAGATGCCGCTGCCGCTGCCCTATCCTGGGAGGCCTTCGTCGCTACGGCTGGATTCGCCTCGAAATCCGGGTCAAAACGCACACTGGGAGAGGTTCAGGGAGTGCTGGTATCGGTACCGCTTCGTCCACCCAAGAAGCAGGTGGGCGTGGACAGCGACAACGGCTAAGTGGACGAAGATACACAATTGTGTCCGCAACATCTACGTGCCAACCGACGTTCTACACCGGAAATCTGGCCAATCAAAAGATCCAGCAATTATCCGCCTTGGGCGTACGATAGCTGTACGACCCATCCGGAGGTCCAAGCTTGGAACGTATGTCTGGAATCGTTTCGATGTTTTTCAACCGTTTTTCCAGCTCCACCAACTTCGCTTCCATTTTGACCATCTGATTTTTCATATTACGTTGACCATCGATGATGTCAGCAAGCAGCGGCTTGGCGTGGCTACCCGTCATGATGAGCGCGGTACTTTGAATGCCATCGATCATTGGGGGGACGGCGACAGCCAGCGCGACCTTACAGTGAGTGTTGACATTCTTGAGCAGCCATTCCATGAAGTTCTGATAGCCACCCTTATACACTAGCAACATTCGCGCCACGAATGATACTACAGTTACGAATGCCATTATCAAAACGAACAACACCTTGTTGCTCAACTTGGCCTTGAACGGAAACTGGCCCTCGTTGTACATCTTCCTCTGCAACCAGCTGCCAAGAAATACATTCGGTAAAAAAGTAACGACCGCCATGGTGTACAACGAGACAGCCTTGACAGTCGCGCAAACGTCAGATCCCTCGACGAAGAAGATTGCAATGTTGTCCATCACGGCAGACATGGAGAAATAAATGGTGAGCCCGACGCCCTCCGTCAGCACGAACAAGCAGCCGGCCCTCAGTACGCTTTCGAACAAGCGAGACTCGGCTATCTTCAACGTCATGTTGGGGTGCTCGCTGTACGGATGCGTCTTGTAGGACTTGTCCAAGAGACTGTCGGAGGGCCCTGGGGACTCGTCCGTCTCGTTGGGCTGCCCCTCTCGCTTCCTGCGCTCCCGCTCCCGCTCCTCCGCCAGCGCGCCCCAGCGCAGCTTCAGGACCTGCGACAGGAATATCAGGCCGAGCACGCAGTAACGCAGGAAGGTCCACCTGAGCGCCGAAAAACCAAAGGGGTCTTGTGCGAGATGGCATGGAGACCTTACGCGGTGGCCTGCGCGGGCCCCCCAGAGCGGCACGCTACACTGTAAACGGGGGCGCTTGCGCGCGGCCTCACGCGGGCAGCTCACGTGCCAATGTCGGTGCAGACGAACCCGTCTTCCTTCGTCGCTCACCTGGCCAACGACGTGTCCTCCGACGCGCACGTTTCCGGGACGCCGTCCGCAAGGCCCACGGCCCACGCGCCAGGAGCGCCCGGCATCGACCTCAGGGGACGGCCTCCCTCCACTGCAGAGCGCGGTGAACCCGCCGCGCGCCTGCCGCGGCCTGGGCCAACCGAGCGGGTAAGACGCGGGGCACTCGTGAGGGGCAACGATACGGATGGACCGGCCCAGGCGGTGATGCATCGCCGACAGATCGGCGGCAGGCCCCCGTTAGCGAATCCGCAGGGTCCTGGACGGAGCGGGTTATGGGGCCCCTGTCGGCGATGAATGGGCGATTGGGGGCCGGTGCATCCCCCCCTGAGCCTATCACCTCCTTGCGGTACCCCCGAACTCAAGTTGCAAAACACATCCCTGGCCCAATGTGTCCTCAGGATGTCCCTGGGATCCCAGGCAGCCGCCTGAGCACCCCTCACGAGGCCCACAAGGCCCACGGGTTCCCAAATGGCGCGGAGAGCTGGGGACACCTTGGGCCAGGACCAGCCCAGGCGCTGAGTGGAGTGTACTGAAACCCCTTCGAGTCCACAGCTTTGAGTACTCCAAATGTAGGTTATTGCGCTTTCGATGTGCAGACTACGTGGTGTTATTTGTTCATGGAACAACATATGGCAATTCATATTCATATATTCTTATAGGGCCAGGGACGCCGGAAAAAACTACCCCCCCCCCCCAACGAATTTGGCCCTCCTCGGGCCTCCTGGCAACCCTTCAGACGACCCGGGAGAACCTCACGAGAACCCGAAGACGGCCCCAAAACGAGTTCCAAGCATTCCGGCGCGCTCCCGGAACGACCCCAAAGAGCCCCATTACGGTCCAGGACGACCCCCAAGAAGCCGTTATACCCCCAAAGATCGCTCCAAAACGTCCCAAGGCCCAAAAGGCCTCCAAGAACGCTCACAAGAAGGCTCCAAGAGGCAAAAATCATTGATTTTCCTTTGGTTTTTGGTGAATTTGGGGGTTCTCCTCTTTTTGGCTTCCCGACGCTCCAAGACGGCGGTCTTCTGGGCGTCCGAAGCCGCCGGGGAGGCTCCAAAATCGCCCTAAAACCATCCGAAAGGGCTTCCAGGTAATCCAACAGAGCCTCAAAACGGCACGACATGGGTCCAAGATGGCCCTAAGAGAGCCCCATGGCAGCCCAAGATGGCCCCCAGACACTCTCCGAAGCATTCCAAATCGTGACCCGGTCGTTCAAGGAGACCGCGGTTGGAGGCAGGGTGGCCATAGGAAGCCCCCAGAGCACGCCCAGGAGGCCTCCAGAAGGCCCTAAGAACGCCTGAAGAACTTTTGCGAGGCCCCCAAAGGCTCTCTATGGAGGAGCCTCCGCGAAAAGAGCTGAGGAGGATGGGGAACATGTGCAGGGCATGGCGAGAATGAGGAAAAAGTAACATGGAGGACAAATAACGAATAACATTATCATAACGGCGATGCCGGAAAAAACAACAAGGAGTTATCGCGAAATTGTCGGCTTGACCTTCCTGCAATTCCGCCTGCATACCAAACTTCAAGGATTAAGGTGCATGCCGCGAAGCGCCACTGCAGTTTTGTGTACATATATGTGCTGAAATATATGTGGTGCGTGGCGCGAGGTATGCGGTGAAACCTGTAGAATGGAATACGTGTAGGCTAGATGCGTGGTGTGTGTACTTTTTTAATATATACATATATATATATATATACGTAGATGTGGTGCAACCCTTGCGATGTAGCTGATGTGGCGCAACATGGATGGTGCCGTAGTATGGGACATGCAAACTACACGGCATACTGAGCCAACCTGTGCGGTGCAATGTGTGCGTGGTGCAATATATGTGATAAAAGCTCGTCGCGCCGCATCGCCCATGCATCGGCGATACATCGGCGATGCGTCGACGATGCATCGACGTGTAACTTGCCTAACAGCGCTTGAAACGTGTTGTCGGCCAACTTGCCCGTGGCGTGCATCCCGCGCGGGCCATCCGTCTTGGAAATTCCATTATTCATGAACGGGTTAACCTGCTCGCTTCGTGCCGGGGCAACATTGTCCAGTCCTGCTTTGAGACAAATTACCCCTTTCGTTCTGTTAAATTCCATGCATTTTCGACTTGTAAGCCTTTCGACCTGACCTGATGATTTACTCATGTGTAACGCTCCTTATGATAATCCTCTTCTTCCACATTGATCTCGCACACCTGCTATATGGACTTTCGGCAAGCGCACTTTCTCAGATGTCTGGTAAACAACTTTCGCGAATTAGCGGCCGCATTTGTTAATTTGGTGCATCCATGCTGCTCGGAACCATATTCCACCTGTTTACGAAGCTGAACAGTTATGCGTCTGCCTTGTGCCCCATTCCTTTGATGTGCACAGGCGCCACATAGTTCTAATAGACGATTTCCATATGAACAGCTTGGACAACCGCGCAGGTGTCGATTCGCCGGGCGGTTTTTCGTCATCCGAGCGGCCTTCTGAGAAACTCTTGGCATTCATCGTCGGCTCTGTCAGATTCGGCTAACAGCTGCTGCGGAGTCTCACGCAGTCCTTTGTCTTCGAAGTTTTCTCATGTTTGAACAAAAGATCAGACGCTATCGCGACATTCAGCTGCGCGAGAAGCATTGGGGCCCAAAACGTTTCAACGGGGACGGAGTTCTCCAATGCGTCTTGGAACCGCAAATCATGCCGCATCGGAATCGTTTGCCGCGGCGGCAACCGCTCTTGCGGCTCACTTTTTCCATGCAGCGAGGGCCACGACATCCAGAATCTCTGGCAGGGCGACTTTGAGCCCTTCGCTCCCCATGGTCTTTCGTTCCCCTCTCACGGAACCAAATGTTGTGCGCCTTTACCCCCTGGCGGCCCACCGCCTCCAGGCGGCCCCGCGCCGCCCCAGGGGCCACGACTTCCGCGACCGCCAGGCCCGCCCTCATCTGGAGGCAGGTCCCCCAAGGCCATCGCCCGAGGACGGGGCCGCCCCCGCTTCCCCCTGCCTCTCGATCGGGGCCGCCTCCGTTGCCTGGACCGTCACCTCTGGAGCCGCCAGATCCACCCCCTTTGAAAACCTGGTTTGGGTCCGCTCTCGGAGGTTCGTCGTCTCCGAACAACGTGCGGTCCCCGGGAGATTTCGGAGACTCATGATCGTCTCTTAATGCCAGATCGATAGGGATCGCCGCAGACGCTTCCGGTTCGGCAGCGGCCTCAGCCATTTTTCCAATCGTTCGGTCTGTTCTTCCATAGATTTGATTTCGGCGGTTACTGTGTATTCCCTCTCTTCGGTCGCTCGGACACGAACCTCCGCTTCCAGTCTCTCGGTCCTCTCAACCAACTCAGCGCGACGATGATCTGCCCTCTCTGTGGTTCTGGCGCCCGCTTCCGCGACCAGGCGCAACTGGGCTTCAGCATTGGCCCTCATTTCGCGACGGGCGCACTGCAGCGATTCGACTCGTTCTTCGTGATTCTCGAGACACTGCGCCTGCCTTTCCGCCCGAAGGTGATCCACCGGTTCATTCTGCAGTTTGCGCTTTGCCTCTTTTCCTTTGCCTGCTTCCCTGGCCCTGAATGCCTTCTCGGCAGCCAGTGATTTTTCTCGCGGCGCCCTGGGCACCTGGCGACCCTTGCGCCATTGCGATCTTCGCAGCAGGGATTCAGGCAGTCGGCGCAATCGGCGCATCGGAACAGGTTGCACGTGCAACGTCGAGAAGTCTGTCCACCGCATGCTTCCGTCGTGACGCCACCACCAGCGGTAGCTGTCGCTACAGTCGGTGGCTGGGCGAGGGCAGTGGTCGCCGATGGCTGCGCGGCGGCCACCCCGCTCTCAACTCGAAACCAACTGGCCTCAACGCTCGCGCCGCGCTCTGCTCTGACCTTGACTTTGTCACCACGGCCCGCTCTCAGCGCCATCATTTCAGCCTCTTGAACTCTGAATGCGTTCCCAGCGGGAGCTCTCATATCAACCTTCTCCCGCGTCTCTGCCATAGCTACTTCTCGACTCCTCATACGTGGACTACTCCGCGACACCAGCTATCTCTTCAGCCTCCCGCGTTCTCAACGCCATCTGGTTGTTCTCGGCTCCTTCGGTCACGAGGCCGTTTTTTTTCCGATCCCCCGCTGCCAGTTCCACCTCACGGGTCCATCAAGTTTGCTTTTTTTCTTCCCGATCAGCGGCGACCTGGTGCAATTTTTGCTAGAACATCTCATCCGTCTGCTTAATATTTATCTCTGCTCGCCGCTGTTGCTGCTGCTGCTGCTGCGCAGCCTCCCATCCGGCCTGCCTGAGGCCTGGGAAATTGCACTGTCCTTGCGGGGAACACTCGACGCATACATACTGAACGCTCCAACGCACGCACGCCTGCAAACACGCATAACAAGATGTAACAAGCTGATCTCTGGGATCGGCCCGAGCCTCCTGGGTGACGATGATCCGCGTTCGCCACGCACTCTGGGGTCGGCATCCAGCATCGCTCGATGATCGAGACCGCGCTTATGCACGAGATCGCGGATCGAGCTGGGGACTTCTGCCTTCGGTCCCTCGCCGCGCTGGGATCGTGCCGGTCGCTCCTAGACCTGTCCTTGTCGGGGCTGATTTGGGACGGAGTGGATGCCTGCTTTTCAATTGTCCTTCTCCGTTCCAGCGTCTGGACCCCGGAGGCCTTATGGATTGGTGGACATCGTCCACCCGCTGTTGGATCGAATCTGGTAGTTCTAATGGGCGGAAGCGAAGGCCCAGCGGCAGAGCCACCGACGCCAACGCACGCCCCAGGGATGTCGGCCATCGATCACCCTTTCTTGTCTTCTGGGGCTTGGGTCGCAGGCGCCGGCGACTTCGCGAGCTCAGGGCGGAGCCCTTTCACCCCCCCGCCCGACCCGTCACTCCCATGGTCTTCCTCACATGCCCTCTTCAACGCGCTAGAGGTTTACGCTGGACGGGGAGCTTCTCCCTCACCGTGCCCGAGAAAACAAGCCACTTCTTCGGTGCCACCTCTGGGAGACTGTTTCCCGACGTATCGCACGTCGTTTCGCTCAGGCGGCCCTGAGCTGTCTCGAGTGGCCCAAGAGCCGCTTCCAAAGCGAGAGGACACATAACATACACTGGGGCTCCACCCGCGGCAGCCGAGACGCCGATGCCAGTGGCTTCGATCGCATCGGTGTCGGCATAAATATTCCCAGGTAAATTTGTTCCGTATCCGCCACCGTGCCGCTGGGCTCGGAGTGGGCGTGTTCTCGGCTCCTTGGCCTTATCCTCTCAGCCTCAGTCCTCACTCCTGAGAGGTCTTCAAAGAGCCCAGACCCCAAATTGCTAAACCTCCCAGGGCTTCCCGCGTGCCTCGCAGGGTTCCTCGCGGCTTGTCGCGTGATTGTTATTTTCGGGCCCAAAAGTGGGCTCCAACACGGACCAAGAGGGCCCCAACAGGCTGTCGAGACGGTCCAAGAGGGCGCCGAATCACAGGAGGATTGCTCCAAGACGCTCTCAATGGCCTTCAAACGACACAAGGGGCCCCCCGAACGCCCCAGGAGCCCCAGGAGGCCTCCAAGAAGCCTCCCAAGAGAACGCCGACGCAAGGCACAAATCATGCATGTTGCTCAGGGGTGTGAGTGATTTTCGCTTTCTCGATTTTTCAAACTCCCGACGTTCCAAGACGGTCCAAGAGGTCCCCAGGACCACCCCAAGACGGCCCTAGGGCCCTAGAGGCCTCCAAGAGGGCCCCAAAACGGCCCAAGAAGGCCCAAAGACGGCCAAAGAGGATTCCAAGACAGGTCCAGAGGCCCCAAAGACGGCTCCAAGAGGGGAGGGGCTCCCAGGAGGCCCCAAGAGGCCCCTAACAGGCCCCCAAGAGGCCCTCAAGAGGCCCCCAAGGGGCTCCCAAAGGCCAAGGGGCCCCCGAGAGCGCCCCGAAGAGTCCCCGAGAAGCATCCGTGATAATTCTGGACCACAACCCAGGCACGGTAGCGGGAATGGCCGAAAACCATTCGATCCGCCGCCCCCTGTGGTCTTGCCACAAGGGTGCCCGGCGTGAGAGACCCTACCGGTTTTGGTTTTGGTTTTTCTTCGGAAAGAACTTTCCCCTGGGGCTCCAGCCCGTCCCGCCGGCCACCCGGAAGCCGCCCAATTCCCGGAGAAATGTTCCCAAGATGGTTCAAGATTGGTTTCAAGACCGCCGAAATGGCCCAAGGCCTCCAAGATGCCTCCCTGATGGCCAAGATGACATCCAAGACGGCTACGATGTCCCCAGGATGCCTCCAAGACGGCCCAAGATGCATCCAAGACGGCCTAAGATAGCCCACCGATGGCTTAAGACGGCCCAAGAGGCCTCCAAGACGCCTCCAGGACGGCCCAAGAGGCCTCCAGGAGGGGCTCCAGGAAGGCCCGAAGAGGCCAAACTCATTGATGTTCCTGAGGTGTTTGAAGGTTTTGGCCTCTGCGGTTCTTCGGCTTTCCGACGGCCCAAGATGGCCCAAGAGGGCCCCAAGGTCCCCCCAGAATCGCCCAAGAGGCCTCCAAGATGGCCCTATGACGGCCCAAGAGGCCCCCCAAGACGGCCCCAAGAGGGCCCCAAACGGCCCAAGAGGCCTCCAAGATGCCCTCGATGGTCTCCAAGACGGCCCTGAAGCGCCCTAAGAGGGTCCCAAGTCGGCCCCTCCAAGACAGCTTCCGAGGGCGTCAGACGGGCCAGGAGGCCACCAAGACGGCCCAAGAGGCCCCCAAGAGGTCTCCAAGACGGCCCAAGAGGCCCCCAAGAGGTCTCCAAGACGGCCCAAGAGGCCTCCAAGAGGGGCCCCAGGAAGGCCCGAAGAGGCCAAACTCATTGATTCTCCTTAGGTTTCTGAAGGTTTTTGGCTTGGCCCACGAGCCCCCAAAGATCGCCTAAGAGGCCTCCAAGATGGCCCCAGAACTGCCCAAGAAGCCCCCAAGACTGCCCCAAGAGAGGGCCCCAAATCGGCCCAAAGAGGCCCTCAAGGCAGCGTGCGCCGGCGTCCGACGAGCCAGGAGGCCATTAACACGGCCCAAGATGGCTCGAAGATGGCCCCAGACGGCCCACGAGGCCCCCAAGAGGTCTCCAGAACGGCCCAAGAGGCCTCTAGGAGGGCCTCCAGGAAGGCCCGAAGAGACCAAACTCAGAGGTTTTCCTTGTGTGTTTGAAGGTTTTCCGAAGTTGCTTCTTTTCAATCTTCCGACGGCTCGAGACGGCCCAAGAGCCCCCCAAGATCCCTCTAAAGGCCTCCAAGATGGCCCTATGACGGCCCAAGAGGCCCCCCAAGACTGCCCAAGAGGGCCCCAAGACGGCCCAAGAGGCCTCCACGACGCCATAGGTGGCCTCCGAGGCGGCCCTGGAGCACCCCAAGAGGGCCCACAGTCGGCCCAGAGAGGCCCCCAAGACGGCTTCCGACGGCGTCCGACGGGCCAGGAATACCTAAGACGGCCAAAAAGGCTCGGAGAAGTGCCCAAAGGCCCCCAAGAGGCCCAAGGAGGCCCCCAAGAGGCCCAAGGAGGCCCAGGATGCCCAAGGAGGCCCCCAGAGGCCCAAGAGGCTCCCAGGAAGTTCCCAGGATCTTCCCCGCCATCCTCCCCCAAGTGTTCCCCGAAGGGTTTTTACGACGGCTGGGGGAACACATGGTCCGATAGCTTGGCAGAACTCTTGTCACAACGCTCGGCCACATGGGCGATTCCAAAAGGCAGGGGGCGGCGGTGATCCGCCGTAGGCGTCTTCGATACATTGACTGTCGGCCGAAATGCGGCATGGGGCCCTTCGACGGACGAGGCCGCCAACAGAGATGGCTCTTCTTCAAACCGACTGCTTCTTCCCAACTCAGGTCGAGGGGTCGCCAGGTTCTTTCTCCTGACGCCGCGCTCGCAATCGCCCTACACTTACACAAATTCGACTACAGGCAGGGGTGAGCCTGGAAATCCGTGTCCAAATGTTGAATCCCTCGGGGTGGGGAGCACGAACTGAGGTCCTTCCGCTTGATACCCTTGGGTTAATTTCTTGTTCCTTGCCGTCATGGTGCTGTTTCCGTGTCGGGATGTTTCAACTTGCATGGCGATCTTCATGACGCGTGCCATCATGCCGGTTTTCCGCCATCATTGCGGCTGGGAAGCGAAACATGCAAGGTACTCAGTACACTCTCACACCAGTCACTGTCCTTTTTCGGGTCTCCTAGCTCAGAGGTTCCCTTCTCCAGGATCTTGTTGCCAGACGGACCATTCACGAAGTCATCCGACAATGATATCTCGTTCCGTGAAGTAGATGTAAGGGTAGGTTATGTTACGCGCGCGCTGAGAAAGAGGCGTGCGTACCTTTTGCCAGGACGCGACTTGCGTCCCACTCCTCACGAATGATACTTAAGCTAAACGCGCGGAAACGCAGGCACAGGCTCATGCAAAATACAGGCAGGAGGAGCAACAACAACGACTTCTTCAATCCTGCAGTACGGGTCTGGATTTGCTCGTCACGCTGTTTCTGTGCCGATCTCCATATCCAGATGCTCGCTCGTGGCCCAGGGTCGCTTAGTAAGACCAGTCGGGAGTATTTAGATCGTTTCCCTCTGCATCTTCGGCCGAAATGTTTTGTCGGAAATGGTTCGCATCTTTTTCAGATTTTGTCTGGGTCACGAAATCCCGAATTCCCCCCTTCCCTCCCTCCCCCCTTCCTCCCTCCCTCCGCCTTCTCCGTCTGCCCTCCTCCTCCACCCCTCCTCATTCCCCTCCACCCCCTTCCTCCCCCCATTCTTCCTCTCCTCCCTCCATCGAACCTATTGAGGGGCTGATGGTCAGGGCAGGCTCCTATCTAGCAGCCCCCACAACATTCGTTTAAGATGCAAGCGTAGGCCGACCGTCACGGCGTGTGCCTCGATGTTGGACGTATCTGCGAGTTGGGGTGCGCCCCAAGCAATGGGCGCCCTTCGTTGGCAGTTCCTCGGGTTGCTCATGACTCTCAGGAGGATCTGTTCAATGGCGGCCCGCTAGCAGACCTGGCAGTTTGGTCAGTGATCCTCACCTCCCTCCTTGGTCTCGCCCTCTCAACCCCCCCTTCCGCCCGCCGAGAGGCTCGGCGCCTGCAGGATCCCCTCGCCGGCGAAGGTCTTCAGGCGGTCCCTCACCGGCGCATCCTCGGCGCGCCCCAGGGTCTGCCCGCGCCCTCCTCCGCCTCCGCCTCAGCGTCCCTCCTGGTGGTACCTCATCGTCCCGACTCCTCGTCCCAACTCCTCGTCTCAACTCCTCGTCCCAGTTCCTCATCCCTGCTGGTTCTTATCGTCTTCGTCCCAACCCTGCACCTCCTCGTCCTCGTCACTCCTCTTTCCCCTCCTCCCACATCATCATCATCAGCATCATCACCACCACCACCATCACAAACAGTATCATCATCACTGCATCATCATCGTCAGCATCACCACTCTCCCTCCTAATACGCATCCTCAGTGTTCCGCTCCCTTAATCATCATCATCATCAGTCTCATCGGCATCATCATCATCGTCATCGGCATCATCATCAGCATCATCACGGCCATCATCAGCAGCAGCATCAGCATCAGCATCATCATTGTCATCAACATCACCATCAGCATCAGCATCACCACCAACACAACCATCATGACGATCACCACTCTCACACATCATCGTCATTATCATCATCAGCATCATCCTCGTGCTCCTCATCAACCTCCTTATCGTCACCACTTATCATCATCATCATCAGCATCAGCATCGTCATCATCATCACAATCATCACCATCAGCATCATCAGCATTATCACCATCATCATCAACATCACCAGTCTCCATCCTAACACACATCCTCATTGTTCCATCCCCTTTACCATCACCAGTATCATCAGCATCATCAGCATCATCGTCATCGGCATCACGATCAGCATCATCACGGTCATTATCAGTAGCAGCATCAGCATCATCATCATCGTCATCAACATCACCACCAACACAACCATCATGAGTATCACAATTCTCACACATCATCATCATCATCATCATCATCATCAGCATCAGCAGCAGCATCATCATCGTGCTCCGCATCAACCTCCTTATCGTCACCACCCTTATCATCATCACCATCATCATAATCAGCAGTATCATCATCAGCATTATCATCGTCATCATCATCATTCTCATTATCATTACCATCATCATCATCGCCAGTGTCATTGGCTTTAATTTTGCCCTCATCATCATGATGATCATCATCATCCTCGCCACCATCATCATCATCATCATCATCATCATCAAATCGTTATTCGCATCATCATCATTATCCTCAACCTCCTCCTCCTCTTCACCCTCCTCCTCCTCCTCATCATCATCATCGCCGCCACCACCATCATCATCAGCCTCACAACCACCATCAGCATCATAGACGTCGTCGTTGCCACCGACATCGTCGACGTCGTCATCACCACCACCATCATCAGCAGCATCATCATTATCAGTATCATTGAAATTATAATTCTCTTCGTCTTCATCTTCATCGTCGTGAGCATCATCATCATCATCCTCGCAACGACTATCATTACCACCATAATCCCATCATCATCATCATCATCATCATGATCCTCCTCCTCCTCCTCCTCCTCCTCCCCCTCATCCTCATCATCATTGCCATCATCATCATTACCATCATCATCATCACCATCATCATCGCCGCCACCACCATCATCATCAGCCTCACAACCACAGTCATCATCATCGACGTCGTCGTTGCCGCCGACATCGTCGCCGTCGTCACCATCATCATCATCGCCATCAGCAGCAGCATCATTATCAGCATCAGCATCAGTACTAGCATGAGCATCAACAACAACATCAGCATCATCATTATCGTCATTGCCTTCATCATCGGCATCATCAGCAGCTTCATCATCATCATCAGCATCATCATCTCGCTCACTTCGTGCTTCACATCCTCCTTTCGCCGGCGCGTCCTCGCGGCGCCCCAGGTGAGGCTAAGTTTTGCCATCAAGCCTCGAATCTCGAGGTGATTGGATGTTTCGGCTGGTTCTGGAAAGGTTTCAGGAGTCCGTTCGGGCCTCTTGGCCCTCCCGACTGCCAGAAAGGAGCCCCCCGGGAACAATTCAAGATTACCACGCGGAGGCGCAAGTGGTACATCCGTAAACTTCTCCTACTCCTCCTCCTCTTCCATCTCCTCCCCTCCTCCGACGACACTCTCCACCTCCTCCACCTCCCCCTTCTCACTCATCTTCTCCCCCGTCCCTCCTCCGCCCTCTCCCTTTACAATTCCTGCCGCTCCTTCCGCTTCCTCCTTCTTCTCCTCCTCCTTCTCCTCCTTTTCTTTCTTCCTTACCTTCACCCTCCTCCACCTCCCCCCTGTCCAGAACGACGGCGGCTTCTAGAATGAGGAAGTGAAAGATGGCAGTACTGCTATTAGTATTACCATATTCGTTCATGTTCCTGGGCAGCACTCTCATAAAATGCACACTATCCCTATGACTGCCGCTCCCCCTCTTAATTCTCAGTCGCCCTCCTGCTCTTCCTCCTCCTCATCCCTTGTGTTCCTACTTCTGCCACTGCCGCTCCTCTTCTGTCCCGTCCTCTTCCTCCTCCTCCGCCTCCTCCTCTTCCTCTTCCCCATCAACATCATCATCATAAGTATCACCATCGTCGCCTGAACACTATGAAGAATACTAATCGTCACCACCACCATCATCACCATCATCATCGTCGTCAATACAACGAGCATCATCGTGAACAACAAGACAATACCCTCAACATCTCCATCATCATTATCATCATTATCATCATCATCGTCATCATCATAATCATCGTCGTCATCACCATCATCGTCATCAGCATCATCATCAGCAGCATCACGGTCATCATCAGCAGCAGCATCAGCATCATCATCGTCATCAACATCACCACCATCACCACCATCATGATTATCACCACTCTCACACATATCATCATCAGCACCATCCTCGTGCTCCTCATCAGCCTCCGTATCATCATCAGCATCATCGTCATTATCATTACAGTCATCATCATCGTCGACATCATCATCAGTAGCATCAGCATCATCATCAACATTATCAGCATCGCCAACATCAGCATCATCATCAGCAGCAGCATCATCATCACCACTAGCATCATCATTATCATAATCCTCCTTATCTGGCTCAGCCTGAACCTCCTGTGTGCTCCGCATCCCCCCTCGTCCACCTGCTCATCCTCGTCTTTCTCGCCATCATCACCAGCATCGTCATCATCATCATCATCATCATCATCATCATCATCATCATCATCAACATCAACATGATCATCATCCATCATCACTGTCATCATCACCACCATCAACATCAGCATCATCACCATCATCATTGTAGCCATCAAAAGCATCATCACCATCGTCGCGGTCAATCTTCATCATCGCCAGTTCAGAACCGTAAACACAAGCATCAACAGCAGCATCACCATCGTCACTATTGCCGTCGCCAGTATTATCATCATCGTCATCGCTATCAGCATCTTCGTTCTTCTCATCACCAGCACTGTCGCATGCATCATCGCAGTACGTATCCGCAGATTCGTCTGCATCATCACCAAATTCACCACCAGAAAGAACATTCAGGCGAGTGCGACACGCCTAGGCCGCTAGGGCCACCCGAGGCTGACGAGGAGCAGGAGTACCTTGAGGCCCAATCATTCCTGTGCGAGCCACTGTCGGGAACCCAGGCTCGACACCCACGCCCCCCCCCCTCCTCCTCAGCCTGTCCAAACGTCAGAAGCGTTTAGGGCTCGAGTTGCCAAGCACCGTGAGCAGGCACGCGTGCGCAGAGCTGCCAAGCCAGCCAGAGCACATCGCCGTGGCGCCGTGGGCTGCAGATGCATCGTTCGGGCAGGGTCTGTTCGACAGAGCAAGCTAGCGAGTCGGTAGTTGGAGGAGGAGGAGGCGGAGGAGAAGGAGGAGGAGGAAGAGGAGGAGGAGGACTCATTGCTGTGGAAGGCTCTCGTTTCCCACAAATTGGTTCACTGCCGCCGCTTCACCCTCCCCCTCTCTCTCGCGGCTGCGCTTCTGCTGACTGGCCGACGTGTGCAGGTTCCGAGGACCCGCCGGCACCCTGCCCAGTCAGACGCATTCCTCTGTACTGCTGCTTTCTTGCCAGGGGCCCATGCGAACCCAGCTGGGGAGAATGGTGCACCCAACAGCGCACCGCACGTGCGAGGCCCCTCTTTCGGAAGCCGGGCAAAGGCTGCTAAATCCAGGGCTGCTAAAATCGACCTCCAGGAAGTTGTTTTCGTCCTTCCGGGAAGAAGCCCGTTGACTGTTTCGCGTGCCGCGCCTCATTCCGGGAAGTTGTTTTTTTCCTTCCGGGAGGGCCGTTTCAGCAGCCACGGTTTTATTTTAGCAGCCCTTGCCCAACTTTCGACTCTTGTGCTATACTGAGCCACCACCACCCGTCAAGTTCAGCAGCTCTCCTGCAGCTGCCAGCCTGCCGTGTGCCTCTCTGGTGCTCTCTTGGTTCTACTGCCAAGGGCCCACGTGACCACAGCCAGTGGCAATGGTGCACCACACAGCGCATCACACGTGCAAAGCTCCCTTTCTGAGCGAACTGCGATGCCGCACCCGCAGGTTCTCGTCCATCCGCCCGCGTGCCTCCGCCCGACGACGCATGGAACGTTGAGGGCTGCTGGGCGTGCAGATAATCGACGGTGTTGTCCTCCGCTGTCTGCCGCTCGTGCCGTGGAATGGGGAGAAGATAACTCGCCCTGGCCAAGCTAATGACGGCAGTACGCATGTTCGGATTCGGCCGGCGCCACGCAAGTAAGGCAAGCCACTATGAATAGCAGCAGAGATGTTGCTGCAGTACCTCCTCTCTTGAGTCTTAGTGCAAAGATCGGCGTTTGTCCCGCCGCCGTCTCGTTCTCGTGCCGTCTGGGTGCCGAAGATTACTTCCCGCCTCAGGTATGTGATGAGCGGCCGTGGATACGTGCCCTTCTTTGTATGTCAGGGACCTGGCACAGAGAAACAGCCAAGGACCCGCCCACATCGCTGCCTCCTTGTATGTGCCTCTCCTTGTTTTGCACTGGCTGTACTGCATGTCTCGTACTGTGCTGCACTTTCTGCCCTTAACTGCGACAATCAACAAAGTTTGCCCGCA